AGCTTGCTTTCTCACTTTCCTCTCTCTCTCTCTCTCTCTCACTCTGTCCCTCTCTGACCCAATTAAAAGAAATATAAATAAATAAAGGTAAATTAAATCATTCTTTAAAAATTTCTCTCCATTTATGCAGCAGATTGTTTTTCCCTCGACCTGAGTCTGGGCACATTGATGACTGCCCCAGCCTGTACAGCACGGGAGCAGCCACGAACACAAGGCTGCCGGGACATAGAGAGAATACAGCGACCCCCTGACACCCTCTCAGATGTTCAACCTCGTAACCAGTTGCCATACCATGGGGGCACCCAGGCCACATGGAGAAGCCACGTGTAGGTGTTTTGGCCAACAGCCTCTGCTAGGAGCCCAGCCAGGAGCCAGAATCAACCACCAGTCGTGGGCGGGAGAGACTGTCCACGTAAGTCCAGCCCCCGGCTTGTGAGTCTTCCAGCTGAGGCCCCGATGACAAAGAGCAGGCACAAACCGGCTGTGTTCTGCCTGAATCCCTGGCCCACAGCCCAGGGCTTGACAAATGGCTGGTCCACACCACCACAGTTCAGAGCGCTTCCACACCCTGGTGACCAGGCGACGTGAAGTGACTTCCACTCAGTGGACCCACTGCCTGCAGCGGGGGCCCATCACGTGAGTCTCAGCTCAGCACAGGCGACACCTCTGAAGTGCCCTGCTGGTCTGAGCGGACGCCGGCACAGCCCGAAGCCAGGCCCCACCCACTCTTACCACTTTCTCTCGGGAGCGCAGGACCCCCATCTTCCCGAAGCGCACGTGGAAGGGGGAGCACTGAAGGTTGCCATTGGGCTGGCGGATCACGATGATGTCGATGCACCCCGACAACGTGGCGGGGTTCAGCCCCTTGTAGAGCTCCTTCACGGTGACGAACACCTGGCCGGCCAGCTGCCCCACGTAATTCATGGTCTGAGCCTAGAGAACGAACACACAGAGCACACACACACGTGAGGTTAAGTCAGGGGGGCCCCTGGGAGCCAATGCAAGAAACTCACTGTGTCTAGACAGGCATTTCACATTCCTCTCAGCTCTGTTCAGACACTGAGTTTCTGGAATGCTCTCCACTGCACCCACCCCCATGGGCCATCTCACCACCCGCAAGCCCACCAGTCTCCTCCCTGGCAAGGTCCAGCAGCTGGCCCTGAGCCAGGAAGCCTCTCTCAGCTGTCACTGGGCTGTCTTCTCTGGAGCCTGGAAACCAGTTTGCGTAAGGTCCTCATGGTTCTAACCATCCCTGTCGTCTCATCACTGCCCAGGCTCTGCGCACCAAATCTTGCAGACTGGAGAACAGAGGCAGCGTTTCTTACAGCTTAGCATCCCCACCCTGCCCGAGAGGGAACTTAGTAACATTAGTTGGAAAGAAAGTAACTGCTTTTACTGTGAGAAGAGAAGCAAATCACCTTGTTTGTAACCATCTCCTGACGCTGGCTGCCGCACCCCTCTGCCCAGGCGCCCCTCTGCCCAGGCACCCCTCTGCCCAGGCTCTCGGCTCACCCAGCCGACTGCCATCTTCCCGGCACACATTCAGGGTCCCTGTCTCCCTATGGGGCCTGACACAGCGACAGAGGCTCCTGACGGGGAGCAAGGTAGCCGCTTGTTTCGCCTGGGGTTAAAGTAAAGGCCAAGGGAGTCGGAGCGGAGGAGAGAGAAGAGCACAGAGGGGCCGGCACACAGGTGGCCTGGAGGAGCAGGACACGCCAGGGGAGAGGGGTTCATGGGCATGGCGGGTGCAAGGGCGCCGAGGCTGTTAGAGTCCAGATCCGAAGCGGGAGCTGGGCCCAGAACAGAGGGCAGGCGGAGGGAAGGATGGGGAGTTGAGACTGCACTGGGAGACCTTGGCACTGCTGAGCAGCAGCGCGAAGATTCTAGAACTGCAAAATGACACTTGGGCCATCATTTAGAAAAGGCGCCAGAACGAAAATGTAGAGAGGCTGACACGGAAGATGACTGGTGGCTGAGGGAGCAGATGAGGAACAGTGCCGCCTTCCAGGACAGGAGTGCAGGGAGCAGGCGGCCGGAGAGCCTGAGCTCCAAGCAGCAGGAGTCTGAGCCTCTGCCCTGCCTCCTCTGAGCCCTGGAGCCCTGACTCCACCCCGGCTGCCCACACCCACCCTGCTCTAGCATGGTCAGGTCTCGAATCCTTCACCCTGGCCTGGCATCAAGCCCGCACGAGCCAACCATGGGCTGGACTCAGATACCCTGGGCCGGCCCACTGTGCGCCATCTCAGCCCTGGACTGCAGCCTCCTCCTTCACCCCTGCTCATGCTGGTGGGCCACACCACCACCCTCGCAGGCCTCACTTCAGGGACAGCCGTCTGCGGGCATCTCGCATGGGCCAGTGGGCGTTCCCTCTCTTTTCTAAATTAGACTCCCCGTGAGGCCAGGAATCAACCCATCCTTTCATGTTAAAAACAAAACAAAACAAAACAAAAACACTCCTTGTAAGCCTCACCTCTCCCCTGTGAAGTGAGCGGGAAGGGAGATGAGAAGGCCTGTTTAGGGCAGAGCGAATGCCCCACGGACAGGGAGCCAGTAGGAGCTGCAGGCTTAATTCTGGTTCAGAGCAGGTCGCAGACCTGGAGGTAACCAACCGTACCCGCCAGGGAGAGCACACGAGAACCCTGAGTGACTCAGTCACTGTTTTATTTTTTTTTAAATTGAGGTCAAGTTTTATTAGATGACGTTTTTTTAAGGTTGTTGCCATAGGACACGTATGCCCACTGGAGAGAGACAGAGGGAAAGTGAGAGATCTCCCTCTCTCCCCTCCCCTCAGGGTGATGACCACGCCACAGTCCCTTCTCCTCCACTCTCCTCTCAGAACTTTGGGCACGCACACATACACCAGATGCGATCTCCAGGCTGCCAGAACCACCACGCCACCTGCTGGTCTCTCAAGTCGCAGTTTACATGAAGCCCTCGGAATGGACTTCCTCTCACCGGAGAACGTAAATGGAAAATGCATGATATGAAAAAAGCAAGGATTTCAGAAACTTTCACGCTGAAATCAATTTGCACTTGAATTTCATTTTTCCATGAGCTTTGTGTGTCCCCCAGACACACGCCTGCTCCCCCTTTCAAATGCAGTCAGGGTCAGTGCTGTCAGCTTCCACCTAAGCCCTGCCAGTGCAAGTCACAGAATATGCAGGTCAAACACATGCTCCTCTCGGTTTGCTCGTGGTGCACGTTTGACTATCTTCCTGCAAAAAAAGGGGGGGGTATTCCTGAAAAGATGTGCAATCTAAAAAAGGCTTCTTGGCACAGCAGGTGGGATGTTGGTTAAGGCGCTGGACTTTTCACATGGCCCACGATGGTTTGAATCCCAGACCTAGCGGCTCGCTCTCTCGCTCTCTCTCTCTCTGGTAAGTGCATGTGCCCCATCATAAATTTTAAAGATAATAATGATAATAAATAAAATTTAGGAATTATTTTACATGATTCTTTGTTACTCCCCCAAGGGATAAGAGAAATTGATACCGTCAATGTTAAATGTAGACTTCCCCCTCCTGTGTGAGCCAGAGAGGTGAGCCCGCCCCCAGCGACATGGAGTGGTATTAATGGCATCTATGCAATCCTTTCACACACAGGAGCTCACATTCATGTGACACTCACAACAACCCGTAGGCATGAGGCCTTTCGGATAAGACAGCGGAGGATAGCCGAGGGGAGAGTGCAGGACTGGGAAGAAGTCTCTGGCTTCTGACTGCCTGTGCCCCCTTCACAACCCCACAGCCTCCCCGATTTCACCTCCTCCTACAGGAGCTATGCCGATCTCTGAATGGCAAGCCTACCTTCCCCACAGGGAGGCCCCCAACCCAGGCCAGTACAGCCCGGAACTGTGGTGGGTATTTTCTATTTGTAAGAAAGAGGAAGTGCCTCACTGGTGGTATAATCACATCCCGGATCTTAGCTTCTCACTTGTAAAGGAGCACAGCACCGAGGCGACCTGAGGTCCAATTCCAGCTCGGGCTGGGTCAGGGCAAAGCCTGCCCTCCTCTCCTCTCTCCCACTGAAGAGGCATCTTAATCATTTAAACTCATTGTTGCTCTGCTCTCTTGTCCTCAACGACAAAAGCTTCCTTCCCTCTTCCATGAGCAAATTCAAGGTTATCACACAGAATTCCAGAATTTCGGAGCTGGAAGGATTCTGAGCAATGAGCTGTTCCAGCAGCCCAGTTTTGGAGAAATTAGCCAGAAATGGAAAGTGGCTTAGGCAAAGCTCCCCGCCTAACAGAGCCAGGATTCGAACTTCCTGTGTGAACTCCCTCTGCAGGTGCCATGGACAGGTCTGGGGCAGTGTCCACACCACAATCAGAACGGGCTCTGATTTCTTCAGCTGTATCGCCAGTTCAGATTCCTGGTGCTCGATATTGCCAGCTAGTCGTCTACTGAATGACCTCCCAGCAAGTCTGCACACCTTCACATGAAAGCAGGAATCCACTCAACACAGCAATGCCTAGCAAACCATAGGGTCCTGCCCCTGGCCCTGTGCTCCTAGGAAATGCCCTCGGCCTCTCTGCCCTGCGGCTGCTGTTACTGCTGAGGGCTGGCAATGTTTAAGAAGCAAAAATGCTGCCACCTACTCCTGTCAGGATGGCCACTGTCCATAAAAACAGAAAATAGGTCCTGACGAGGCTGTGAAGCTGCTGGAACCCGTGCACGCTATGGTGGGAATGCAAAAGGGTACAGCCACTACAGAAAACAGCCTGGCAGCTCCTCGAAATCTACAAAGTAGGATTAGCACGTGATACAGCATCCCATGTCTGGGTATCTAGCCACAGGAATTTAAAGCAGGGTCTTGAAAAGATATTTGCACAGCCGTGATAGTGACAGCAGTATTTGCAACAGCCTAAAGTGAGATCGAGCCAGTGTCTGCTGACGGTTAGATGAAGGGGTAAGTAAAACATGGTGTATACACACAGTGAAACGTGGTGCAGCCTCTAAACGGCAGTTCTGGGCCAGCAGGTGGCGTGGTGGTTAAGGTGCTGGACTCCCACATGGCCGACTCTGGTTCAAGTCCCAGACCCTGCGGCTTGAAAGTCACACCAGGCACAGGTGCATGCACGCCCAAAATCCCAAGAGGAGATTGGAGAAGGAATCACAGCGTGACCACCTCCCATGGGGAGGAGGGTGATTTCTCACTTTTCCTCTCTCTGGCAAGCACATGTGTCCTACTGCAAAAACCTAAAAAAAGAAAGGCAGTTCTGACACATGCTACAACCGGTGACCTTGGGGACAGCATGCTAACTGAAGTGATGAGGTAAGGTGGTCACCAAAGCACACTCTCTGACTCCACTGCAACAGCTACCTAGAGTAGACGGGTTCCGGACGCGCAGAGTAAGCAGGGCAGGTCGGCGAGAAGTGAGAAGTGGGGCACTGGTGATCGGACGGTTCAGGGCTTCACTGTGCAAGATGGGAGTAGTTCTGGAGGAGGTGGTAGTGGCGGCAGGACGACCATGTGGCTGTATTAACACCTCTGGTTAGACACTGGGCCAGGCAGTGATGCAACTAAATGTGCATGAGAAAGGTCCTGAGCTCATGTCCTGGGACCTCCCCGTGTGTCCCCGCACGAGCCTGTGATCGGGGCTGGCTGAACGAGGACAGATCACAGCCACACATCGTGTAGACCCTGCTGGGGCGCCTGTCTCTGTCTGTCTCTCTCTCTCTCTCTCTCTCTCTCTGAGAATGGAAGAGGATGATAGAATTTTTTTAAAGAAAATGTTTAAAGTGAGACCAGCAAATGGCATAAGGCTTACATTGCTGGACTCCCACATGGCCAATCCGGTTCGAGTCCCAGACTCAGTGGCCAAGCGCACATATGTGTGTGCCCAAAATCCCAGGAGGAGAATGGAAGAGAAGGGATTGCAGTGTGGCCATCCCCCTGGGGAGTGATTTCTCACTTTCTGTCTCTCTGTATTT